TATCTATCTATCTATCTATCTATCTATCTATCTATCTATCTATCTATCTGTCTGTCTGTCTGTCTGTCTGTCATCTGTTTGTCTATCTATCTATCTATCTATCTATCTATCTATCTATCTGTCTATCTATCTATCTATTTGTCCATCTATCTGTCTGTCTACCTGTCTGTCTGTCTGTCTGTCTGTCTTTTGTCTTTCTACCTATCTTTGCTTGCACACACTCTTATAATGGCAATGTATTTTCATCTTTTTAGAATGAAATCTCTCTTTCTCACACACACAGGCAATCATGATTCAGCAATAGGTAGTGTAAGACGTGTGTATAGGTGTGTGTGTGTGTGTGTGTGCGTGCGTGTGTGTGTGTGTGTGTGCGTGCGCGTGCGTGTGTGTGTGAGTGTGTGTGTATAGAATAGATCTGTTCACTAGATCTATTCTTTATTAGTCTAATACAATCTACTCCTCTATACCTGCTCATGTCTATTATCACTCTCTCTTTCTCCATCTCCAGTTTTTGTTTGTCCTGGAACGTTAATGCGAGTGTTGGAGCCCAGTTCCGTGCGGGAGGCGGAGCATCAGTCGGGGGCATGGTGTAAAGACCCTCTGCAAGCGGGTGATAGGCTCTATGTTATGCCCTGGACGCCCTATCGCACAGATATGCTGTACGAATACGCTTCCTGGGACGACTACATCCAAAACCGAGTCACCACCACCTATAAGTGAGTTCGTGTTTATAAGTTTATTAGTGAGTTACAAGTTGAGCGTTATTTGAGTGTTATAATAACGTTTCTGTGTGATGTACAGGTTGCCGAGTCGAGTGGACGGCACTGGTTTTGTTGTGTATGATGGGGCTGTGTTCTACAACAAGGAACGCACACGCAACATTGTGAAATACGACCTGCGGACTCGCATCAAGAGTGGCGAAGCTATTATTGCAACCGCCAACTATCATGACACATCGCCGTACCGCTGGGGCGGTAAATCCGACATCGACCTAGCAGTGGATGAACACGGGCTTTGGGTCATATATGCCACTGAAGCCAACAGTGGACGCCTCGTTGTTAGCCAGGTGAGAAAGTGTTTTAAAATGTACTTCCTGTTTATGTCTTGCTGCATCGTTCTGATTGGCTGCTTTCCAATTGTTCCGTAATCCGATTGGCTTGTATCTCAGGTGAACCCATACACGCTGAGGTTTGAGGGGACGTGGCAGACAAGCTTTGAGAAGCGCATGGCGTCAGATGCGTTCGTGGCGTGTGGCATCTTGTACGCCATTCGTTCCGTGTACCAGGACGATGACAGCGAGGTGGGTGGAGACCTGATCCTGTACGCCTACGACACGCGACGTAACCACGAGGAGCCGGTGAGAATCCCGTTCCCCAACCCGTACCAGCACATCTCCTCCATCAGCTACAACCCCAGAGACAACCAGCTGTACGTCTGGAACAACTACATCGTCCTGCGGTACCCGCTGGAGTTCAGCCCGCCGCAGCCCACCACAAGTGAGCATTTTAATGGCTCAGAGGCTGCTCTTTCATTTCTCAGGAGACTTAAAGGAGTTCTGAGTTATCTGTTAAATATCAGCTTGAGCCAAATGAGTCAGTAGTTGTCAAAAATAATTTATTCCTCAGAGGTTGCTCTTTTAAAGCTCATGAGTTTTACTGGAGATCTCAGTTGCTTGATTTGTCTGTGTTGTTTAAGTATCAACTTTGTCTCAATTGTTTCTCCTAAAATAAAATCGTACCCAAATGAGTCAATCGTTGTCATACATTAGTAATAATTCAGAGCTGTAAAATGAATGTTGAGAAGCAGCTCAGATCATTTGATCTTTGATGAGAAATGTTTGAGTTCATACTGAGACTTTTGATCGCAGACCTTGGTATCTTGCCAAATTGGAGCACATTATGAAAATATGTTGTGATCTCTTCCAAATATCATAGTTTTCCCGAGAGATTTCTCAGATCATTTGATCTTTAGAGAGTTTTGTGAGAAATGTTTGAGTAAATATTGAGATCTCTGACTTTTGATTGATAGATTCCAAATACTGTCAAAGAGGAGAACGGTTTGAGGTTTGCTTGCAGTCTCTTCCAAATCTCATTGTTTTCCCAGGAGAAAAATTTGAGAAGCACCTCAGATAATTGGATTTAATTTGATGAGTTTTTCGAGAAATATTTGAGTTCATACTGAGATCTCTGACTTGAGATCGTGAACCTTGGCAAATCCAAGCATGGTTGTAGATGTGGTCGAGATCTCTTCCAAATCTCATTGTTTTCTCAGGAGAAAAATTGGAGAAGCAGCTCAGATCTTTTTATCTTCAGAGAATTTTGTGAGAAATGTTTGAGCTCATACTGAGATCTCTGACCTTACATTTCAAATCTTGGCAGATCTGAGCCCAGTTTGAGACGTGGCTGAGATCTCGTCCGAGTCTCATCATTTTCTCATTTTAAAAATCGGTGAAGCAGCTGAGATAATTTGATCTTCAGTCAATTTTGTGACTTTAGATTGCAAATCTGAGCACGGTTTAAGATTTTATAATTTTTTTAAATGGAAAAAGCAGGACACTTTTGTATTCAGAACCATTACGTTTATTACAAAATACAGGAACTGATTGATTTTTATGATTCCCATCACATTTATGCTGAAGTCTCCATTTGCTCGGTTTAATCTCTTTGCACGTTTGTGTGTTTATCTCCTCTCAGATCCTCTCTCGACGCCTCTTCTCTCCACCACTCCTCCGGGCGCGCTCTCCACCACTGTGTCGATGGGCTTCAGTCCCACTTCCATCCCGTCTATGACCTTCCACCCTGTGGGGTCTATAAACAGGGCTCCGGCAGGGCGGCCCATTACAGCCACGGTCCCGGTGACCATCAGGCCTCCCCGCCGACCGCAGGGGCCGCGCACACCCATGTGTGAGGGCCGCGTGACCCGCGGGGTCCAGTGGCCCCCGACTCATCGAGGAGAAACGGTGGAGAGGCCGTGTCCCAAAGGATCCCTCGGTCAGTAGGGGCTTGTGTGTGAGCTGGTGTTTCAGGGGGGGTTCATGTGTGTGTTCACACCGCAGATGAGTCAGTGCTAAAATAAACGATTCAGTGGGTGTGTTTCAGCTAACTGTAAAAATATTTCCTTCCATTTATAAATGTTTTTAGCAGCAACATTGTTCGGCTGTGTAATGGTCATAACAGCAGACTGTTGGCCTGATAAACATGCTGATGCCTTGTGTTTGTAGCTTTCCCATTTTTTTCTATGTGTAATGCACTTAAGTAGTTTAATTTCACATTTGATGACGTCTTTTTATTCTAGTATCGTGTCTCTAGTGGATGGGTTTGTATAATATATTCCTGCACGCCGCTGAACTCTCGGTGAACTCGAGGCGTTTGATGGCTTCTGATATTCATAATCTTTGTCGTAGTCATTTGTACAAAAGCCCCAAGATACAAAATCAGTTTTTAAATGTATTTAGCATTATTATTAGAGACAAGTAGTGATTCTAACAGTCATTACCATCAGTGTTTAGACTTGATAATACAGATTGCACCAAGGCACTTGAAGGTCACATGCTAATGCTAGCTTTAAAGCCACACTCTAAATGCTCATGCAGAGGAAAACGTCATCGAAAACTAATTTAAATGCCATTTTCTAATTCCATTATAATTATTACACATGCAGTTTTCATAAACTCAAATTCATTGAGAGACTACATGAAAATGTTGACTTATAAAATCCATTTGTTACGCAGCGGGACCACGGAAATGATTTTTTTTTTTTTAAATGACAGAAGATGATTAACAAAACTAAATGAAATAATGACCATTCTGTTTCCTACCTAAAATCTCGATGTTGAAAAAATCTAGGGTGTGAGAAAATCTCCACACCCTTCATGTGTGCATTTTATGGACCAGAGTGTTTTCTGAGTGTGATGTTCCTGTTTGCGGTGCTTTCCACTGACGTGTCTGGTGTTATAAGGTCAGATGTTTCTTCACAGCTTCACAGTAGTCTTTCCAAAGGTTTAACTTGATCGTGTTTTGTTTTGGGATGTTTTGATTATTTCTAGAGCAATCCCTCTTATCTGTTTCCTTTTCCTCCAGCGTCACCTGATTCTGATTGTGTTTTTTCCTGTCTTACTCATTCTGCCTGCTCTCTGTCCATCATTCAGGTATCGCGTCGTATCAGTGTATGACAGATGACGTGGTGTGGAACCCCAGAGGTCCCGACCTCAGCAACTGCACCTCGCCCTGGGTCAGCCAGGTCGCTCAAAAGGTCAGAGGTCAGGGGTTATCAGAAGGATAAACGGATGCAGATTGATAGATAAATAGATGATGGACGGATGAACAGATATTTGATGTCTCTCTTGTTTCTGTAGATTAAGAGTGGGGAGAACGCAGCACATATCGCTTCTGTACTTGTCAATCACACTCGGGGGCGGGTCTATGCCGGTGATGTCACTTCCTCTGTGCGTCTGATGGAGCAGCTGCTGGACATTCTGGACTCACAGCTGCAGGCGCTGCGACCCGGAAACAAGGAGTCGGCCACACGCAACTACAACAAGGTGTTGCATACAACAACAACACACACACACACTCACTCACACACTCACACACTCACACACACACACACACACTCACAATCGCACATGCACACACACTCACACACACACACACACTCACACACACATGAGGGGCCGTACAAGCCATAATTCATTCTGGCACTCTCACACACTTACATTCTCCTTTCACATACATATATTTTTGCTTTCACACACACATACATTCTCCTTTCACATGCATATATTTCTACTCTCACACACACATACATTCTCCTTGCACGTACATATATATATAGAATGCATGTATGTCTGAAGAAAATATGTGTATGTAAGAGAAGAATGTATGTATGTGTGAGAGAGTAGTGGAAACGGAAGGAGTATAGTGGAAACGGAAGGCAGGTCAGGCGCGAGCAGGGTCACCGGGACAGGTCATGATCAGCATGGCTGACGTAGCCTAGATGAGGCGGCCGCAGAAGTATTTCAGCAAGCTATTTGGATTAAATATATATATATATTATCATCGTGAAAAGGTTGCATGGGCTCGTCCCTTGAGCGAGTTGTGATTGAGGACGCGGGCAGTGTTGGGGAAAGTTACTTTTAAAAGTAATGCATTAGAATACTGCGTTACTCCCTAAAAAAGTAACTAATTACGTTACTTAGTTACTTTTATGGAAAGTAGTGCGTCACGGTACTTTTGCGTTACTTTCGCGTTACTTTTTAAATATGAGCAGGGCTTTTAATATAAGAAGTTATATTTATAGCAAATGTAAAAGCCCTTTCACAACAAAAAGTGTAATGAATAAACCTCAGGCTGAAGCTAAAGTAAAGAGGAGAAGGAGAAGAAACACTCTTCAGCAATAAAAAACAACGAAGCACAATTGTTAGTTTCTCTAAAGTCATTTTTGCTTATTAGTACGGTTGAACTGGATCATCAAAGGTCAGCAGCGAATACATCAGTTAATAAAATGGGATTAGATACATTTGTGTTATTTAACATATTTAATTATTGCAGGTTTGCGTCATATTCTGAGTTTGCGTTTCAGTGTTTTAATTCATTTTGATGAATACGAACTCTGTTTTTTGTGAGTGGGATGAATTAATGCACATTCACATTTAGTCTGGAACTACAGTAGCAGTATCAGGTTCACACAGCTCCTCTGTACTCCCGATTTCTCCCAACATGGCGACAGCAGAGCTGTCAGTCAATAAATGGGAAAACTAAGTAACTTGCGTTACTTTTTTGAAAAAGTAACTCAGATATTCTCTTGTAAATTCAAAAGTAATGCGTTACTTTACTAGTTACTTGACAAAAGTAATCTGATTACGTAACTCGCGTTACTTGTAACGCATTACCCCCAACACTGGACGCGGGCTCAGCCTCAGTTGAGTTGCCAGATACACGCATTATAATCCGTTTATGGATTTTTTTTTATCTTCAACTTTTTTATAGTTTCCTTCATTTTTATTGAAAATAAATGCCTTTCTGATGTGATATGAGATTTGAAAAGGAAGAAAAAAGTTCTGTAAAAGGCGGATTCGAACCCGGGTCGATCGCGTCAAAAAGACCACGGTGCGCACTTTACCATCTATGCCACTGAAGCTAATGATAAACTACCATCTCTAACTATCCCTATAACACATTTGTGGGTGGAGCTACTGTAAATAGCCTCTATCAACAAGGCGGGCTATTTGCACTCAAGTGTAAGTAGACACTCCGAAGAAAAAAAAATCCATAAACGCTTATAATGCGTGTATCTGGCAACTCGACTGAGGCTGAGCCCGCGTCCTCAATCACAACTTGCTCAAGGGACGAGCCCATGTAACCTTTTCACGATGATAATATATATATATTTTTTTTTTAATCCAAATAGCTTGCTGAAATACTTCTGCGGCCGCCTCATCTACATCAGCCATGCTGATCATGACCTGTCCCGGTGACCCTGCTCGCGCCTGACCTGCCTTCCGGTTCCACTATAATCCTTCCGTTTCC